TCAGCTTTATGTTAATACATTTCACCTCTTATAAACATTTTAAAATTTTGCATTTTAAAATTGCATTCAGGGGCAGCTAGGTGGCACAGCGGATAGAGCACCAGCCCTAGAGTCAGGAGGACCTGAGTTCTAATGTGGCCTCAGACACATAACACTCACTAGCTGTGTGACCCTGGGCAAGTCACTTAACCCCATTGCCCAGCCAAAAAAAAATGCATTCAAATATTCTAATGCAACCTCACTGAATCAGAGCAGGAATTCTGAGGAACAAAAAAATCTTAGAAGTCTCCCACTTGGGAGAGGAAAGAGAAGTAGGCCCTCAAGCACATGTTGCTTGGAGTATGCTTGGCAGGAAGTCTCCCTTGGTGATGGTGAAGATGGCAGGCCCATTGGAGAATATATCATTGACATGGAATAATTTGCCTGGAAAACTGGAGAGTACACTTTTGAAGGAAGTGATCCCTGATCCCATTCCAGAGGCAGTAGAAGGACTCTCAGGGCTCTTGCTGAGGAAGGATTCTTTCAGACTCAGGACAGTGGGTAAAACTCAAAAGGAAAAGGAGGGGGTGCATCATGATAAAGAAGCTCAAAAAAACAGTACTCATGACTGCAGGGTCATTTCTTCAATAGGATTCAGGCTCAGGGCAAATCACTGTACCCCATGAGTCTCAGCACAGAAACATTTTTATATAGTTGCCATCATATTAAAATAAACATCAAGGGAAGCCTTCATGGAAATGAGTAAATAGACTGAGAGAAACAGACAGAGAGATAGGAATTTGATAGGTAGATAGAGATGTACACAATATAATAATGGATATATTTATCTATCTGGATATCTATATCCATCATATAGTATGTGTATATATTTATATGTGCATATACAGTTATATGTATATACATAATAAATAAATATTACATATGGATAGGGCCTGGACCTGAGATTTTATTGGTAACAGCAAATTCCTGGATACAGGAAGGCTGGCATTTTTCTCTGCAACTTATGGCCTTACAGAACTGCCTAGAGCACTGACTTGCCCAGGGTACACTGCTAATGTGTTACAGCTGGGACTTGAACCCAGGTCTTCCTGGCTCTCTCTATTCTATGCCAAACTATCTCTATATTTAGTTAAATTCATGAGTCTTTTGGCACCAAATGGTAAAGCTACCTCCTTCACCACCACCTTTATCCACCCAGAGGTGGCTAACTGCAAAACAGGAGGGATAGCGTCAAGGAGGAGAGACCATAGATGTGGCAGATGTATTGCAAGAGTTAACATTTAAATGGAACAAATATATATTAAGCACCTAGAGAGAGTTGTTGGGAGAGATTTTTTTTTAAAAATTAGATGAAACATGGTCTTTGCTCTAGTGGAGGTTACAGTCTAATGGTGGGTATGAAGGATACCTACAAATAATTATTGTATAAAATAATACATGGTAAGTTCAGAATAGGTCTTTCCCCCCCAATTCTTCCACTTTTTTATATCCTCTCCCAACATTACTTTGCTTTAAATTCATATAGATTTTGTATTTACTTATTAATCAATCAATCCTTAAGTGCCCTCCAGGCACTGTATGAGGCATTGGCTATACAAAGCCAAAAATCAAACAATAACCACTTTGTTTGTGGTACATGCTGTTTCCAAAACTGAAAAAGAATGTAGGCTGCTTGAGGGTAGAGACCGTTTTGTTTTTGTCTTTGTGTTGACAGTGTTTAGCACACCTCCTGCAGCACCACGGTCCCTTAACAAACACAGGCATATTGAATAAATGAATGAGTGACAGATGTTTGGGCAAACTGTTGTTGGTGAGGAAATAGTGTCTTAGTATTCTCAACACTGGATGGTATAATGGAAACATAACTTGGACTAGAAGTGAAATTAGACTTGTGTGGTGCTCCTGCCTTTACATTAATTAACTGGTCAATAATGGGATCACAGGCAAGTCATTTAATTTCTCTGGCCTGTTTCCTCATCCCTAAAATGAAGGTGCTAGGGTAGGGAAGAGCTTCCTCAACAATACATCTTGAAGTGAGCCCTGGCATATGTTAAGGTTAGTTTCTCTTATCATGCCCTTCTCTCCATGGATTGCTGAGATCCCCAGCATGGAGGGGAATGCAGCCTACAGTGGTTTCACTGACGTCAGGGGTTTTCATTAGCCTTGTCCCCCAAATTCTGCTCTATTTCCATCCTGGGGAAATTAAAAGGAATTCTTCCTCACAAAATGATCTTAAGAAAGTCTACAATTCTCTAGGATTTCTAATTCTGAATACAGAATTTTCCTAACCCAACACAAAACAAGCTTGAAGACTTAGGTTCGAGTCCTTCCTCAGATTCTTATGTACTAGTTGTGTGACCCTGGGTAAGTCACTGTGCCTCATTTTCCTCATATGTAAAATGAGGATAATAAATCACACAGGACTATTGTCAGGGTCCACTAAATAATGTATATGAAATGCTTTCTAAACTTTAAAGTACCATACAAGCAACAGTGGTCATTATGTAAGACAGAGCTACTTCCAGTTAGTAACAACTTGGTTTCTAATTATCATATTTAACTACATATGGTGGTTTATTTGGGTGTTGGTTGACAAGCATCTAATGTGTCAAAAATTGTGATGATGATGATGATGATGATGATGATACAGAGAAAAAGCAGAAGAAATTAAAATAATGTAGAAAAAAGATGAGGTATATGTCATCCCTGTTATTCTGTCTACAATTGCATTTGTCCTGAGGACACTTTCAGTGAGCCTAGAGAGGATAAGTTTACATCCTACTGCTTTCAGTAAACTACCAAAATCAGTAACTTTATTCACCTATGCTATAGCTCACAAAATTCTAAATTTAAAAGAATAATAGCAGAACAGGAATTTGTCCCAGTACCATTTCCATCTGAATACTACCAAACAAATGAGAAAAGCAATTTTTAATAATAATTAATAACAACAACAACAAAGGACATCAAGCAATTATTATTTAATGCACAAAATCCCTTGGATACTTCAGTGTACTATCTGTAATCTATATAGACATATGTTGTACATATCTTTCTTTGTGACTAAAGGACAAAACATATAGTAATAAGGAAGGACCAATTAGCAACCTAATTAAGTAGGATTCTATTTATTCCTATTGATATCCTTGTACTAAAGATTTCTACCTCCCTCAAAATCCACATTGCCTATAATTGAAAATTTTTGAATTTCACAATTTCACAAGAATTTTGTCTTTAAATTTCTCAGGGATTCTGGGGAAAGCTATATGATGTAAAAAAACAAAAAACATCGATAAAAAATTATTTAAAAAATTTTCATCAAGAGGCAGCTAGGTGGTGGACTGGATAAAGCACAGGCCCTGGATTCAAATCCAGCCTCAGACACATAACACTTACTAGCTGTGTGACCCTGGGCAAGTCACTTCACCTATTGCCCAAGTTAAAAATAATTTTTTTTTCCATCGAGAACAGCTGTTTAGGCAATAAAATACTCTGACATATTAATAGCATAATAGAGGCATACGGGTTTTCCTAAATTAACATTTAACCATGTAATTTGCTAATAGTACCAATTTATGAACTTGCTCATTGTTTTTTCCCTCTCCAAGCTTCCACCTCTCTATTATTTAGCTGATATGTGTGCACGTACATAAATGTATACTTAATATATGTACACATATCCAAAATGATATACCTATGTGTATATACACATATCCACATGCATGTACAGAATTCATGTTATATATTTAATAGATTAAATCTACATTGAAACTTTTGAAACATCCTGCATATGATTACATGGACATGGAACCTGGAAATAAACTTAAGTAAAAATCTAAAACATAGCAGAAGATATTTAACTAACAGAGCTAAGAGAGACATCATTTAGAAGAAGAAAAACAATTATAGTTGAAACCTTTAAAGAACTTTATGGTCAGAGAACTAGCTCCTAGAAATGGTATTTTATAGGGTTCTATTTAGGTTATTTTATACACTATAAAAGTATATAATATATAAAGTATACATAAATATAATATAACATAACATACAATATTATATGTGTATGGGTATATATATGAATATATATAAATACATACATATATAAAAATGAGGTGATCACTATGAATCCTTCTCAAGTTCTGTTATCTATTCATTCTAGGCACAAAATTTTCATGTTCATTAGCACATGATCTTGTTGCCAGACTAAGTCTAGAAAAAAAGATTTGGCATTGGAAGAAAAAAAGGGGGAGGGGGTGTAGAAAAAGTTGGGGACCATAATGTGCCAAATGATAAATATTAGTCTGTAGCGTAGTGCTGTTATTCATTCTTTTTAAAGCAAGCAGAATACTGGAATGTTATAAACAGAAGTGTAGCATGCAGACCTCAAACTAAATATGAATCAGTGGCTAATTCTGCCTGCCCAATCAACCAGGCAATAACCTTGCATTAAAGCTACCAAAGAAAGGTTCCTGTTACCCCTTAGGCAATTTTACAAGCAGAATTCATCGAATGGTTAAACATTTGCATTAAATGTAAGCTGAAACCTGAACTAGTAAAACTGATTTCCTAATGGCAAGTGTATGATATACCCCCTGCATTCCCTGGACAAAATGAAGACATTTATAGAATAAACATTTTCCCCAAGTATGTATTTACTGTCATTCTACCACACTGTGAAGATTTGTGTTAATACAGAACAAGGTGTCATTTGGTACTTCACCAAATTTCTAAAACACATCAACTATATATCAGTGTTTCCTTAAAACACACACACACACACACACACACACACACATACGCACATGCACACATGCACACACCCCAAGAAGTAAATATTACCAAACCTTAGTATTAATCTTCAGAATAATAATCTATTTAATAGCTCAGGAACTTTGATTTGTGAGTTCATCTCATGTGATAGACCCATTGCCCCAAGTCTGCCATGTGTTGCCCCACGCCTGCCATTTTCTAAGCAAGTCAAACCTCTGGTTCTTTCTTACCTGTAATCTGACTCTGTCCTTGTGGATTAAAAGGACTTGGTGTAGAGTTCAGGGAGGGCCGTGGGTTCTGAGTCGGGACACCTACTCTCATACTGGGATGAGGAATGCGCCCTAAATCACTGAGGCGTTCAGAGAACAAACTAGGTTTAGAGTCATCAAGCTTCTGTCTGTGCCCTGGAAACAGCAAATCATAAAATAAAAGCATTATTAATATAGCTGAACAATCAACCATACCAAATATATGTGTGTATATATAAATATGAATGTTTAAGAACTACTAATAATGCTATTTTATATTTATGTGATTATAAGGCCTCCAATCTAAAATTAGTTTATAAGCATTGTGTCAAATATCATTATTCCCATTCTATAGATAAAGAAAATGATCTTCATGAAGGGAAACTGATTTCCCTGAGTCACACAGTTTATTTATTCAGCAGTAGAAATGCTAATGATAACCTTCTTGCTTAAGTACTCTGTGAATGAGACCACACTCTCCTCTCACTGAAAGGGACAGAAATAAGATTTGTATGTGTTAGGGTTTTTTTTTCCCTCCAAACTGTGTTTTTGTCTGTCTTTTCTTGTTGTAGCTATTGTTTTTACAGAAGAGAGGAAATGAAACTGAAGTCCCAGAGGTTCTTTTGCATGTGAAAAACCATATCCACAGTAGGGACAAGAATAGTAGCATGAAGGAGACCCAGGCAGCATTGTGATGACCACAACACCAAAGAACAATTTTTCAGGAGAAAGGTTGCTTTATTTTTTCTTATGTTACCTTTCCCATCACCACCAGAAACCTTTTCCAGAAGCCTGAAACATAAAACTTCCCCCTCTCAGGGGGAAAAATAGACGTTTCCTCAGACCATGAATTTAGAGCTTGAAGGGACCTTCGAAATCATAAAAATCCAACATTCTCATTCTACAAATGAGAAAACAGAGACCCAAAGAGGTCAAGTGATTCACCCAAGATCCCACAGAGAGCCACTGGCAGAGCTGGGACTTAAGTCCAGGTCCTCGGACTCTATATCCAGTGTTCTTTCCATTCTACCATCAAGCAAGGAACTCGGAAGATCTCAAGAGGAATCTACACTCTCTGATATGTTTCAGTCTAAAATCAGGTGGTATCTTACCAAGATATGTGAAAAGGGATACTATTTTTGACTTTCTTTAAATCTCAGCTAAAATTCCACTTTCTACAAGAAGACTTTCTCAGGCCCACTTAATGCTAGTGCTTTCCCTCCACTGAGCATCTCTAAGTCGTCCTTTGTATATTTTGTATGTATATAGTTGTTTGTATGTTGTCTCTGCCATTAGACTGTGAGCTACTTAAAAGTGGGGATTTGGGGGGGGAGGTTTGCCTTTCTTTGTATCCACAGTACTTAGCACAGTGCCTGGGACATAGCAGGCAGTGAATAAATGCTTATTGACTCGATTTCACATATAATATCCACACCATGTTCTGGCATGTCTAAGGAAAAATAGGTAGCAAATATACCATGGGCAGCCTATGAAGGAGAAAATTCGTGCTTGTGTGTGTGTGTGTGTGTGTGTGTGTGTGTGTGTGCGTGAGTGTGTGTGTGTATGTGTGCGTGTGTATGTGTGCATGCGTTTTTCTATCTCTCCAGTAGTCTATCTAAGCTTTGTAAGACCCAAGAGAATTTTGGTAGCATATAAATTAACATGTCCCTGTGTTACAAAACCTGAAAAAGGACACAGATAAGGCTTAGAGAAGGCTCAAAGGATGAACTTTGGACAATTGTAGTATAGAAAAACAGCAAGGAGTCCTAGTAAGCCGCAAGCTTAATATGAGTCTATAGTATGATGCTGTTTAAAAAACAAGTAGGACATTTGGATATATAAATAGAAGTATGTCATGCAATCCTCCCACGGGAGTCTGCACTGGGGAGACCTGTACTAGGAAATAATGTCCAGTCCAAACTGGACCGGGGCCCTGACAATGTTTTCATTAAAATATGAAGAATTTGAAAAGGGTTCAAAAGAGAACAACCAAAAGGATTAAAGGATTAGGATTTTATTCTATGAAGTAAAACTAAAGAAGTTTAGATAATTTGCCTTAAGGGAAGGAAGTTTTGTTAAAGGGGGGATTAATTTGCCTTTAGGCACAGACAGAAATATTGTCCAGGAGATGGTAGTAATGCAGTAACTGCATTCCACTGACACTGAGCACAGCACAAGAGAGATGGCTAAGACCCTATTAAGACAGAGTTAAGTTGGACATTTGAATTTCCCAACTATAAGTTGTCTCCAGAAGACAAATTCCTTATTTTATTTGCCCCAAAATGTCTTTTCCTGTCTCCTTATTCATTGACTACACAGCCCAAAGAAAACAGACAGGAAGCCAAGACACAGTAACATGAGTGTAGCTGTCTCCACAGTCAAGCTTGTTCCAACGAGGTCCATTAGCTGAAATGTGCCCCACCACCCACTTCCTGTCAGTACAAGCTTGAATCGTCTGGTACAGCACCAGGATTGAACCTGAAAGAATCAAGGACCCAGGGAAAGTCTAATTCAAACAGGTGAGAGTTTTCTTCCTAACTTTTCTTATCCCTTTCTCCAACTGATATATAGATCTCAGACCCAAACAGATTCCAGTCAAGAAACTATCTAAACAAATTTCTTGCCTTTTTTGCCTCATTTTTATAGATAAGACACCTCAGGCTCCAAGAGGTTATATGACTTGTTTGAAGTTAAGACTAATCACTTTAGTCTACTCTTCCTGGTGCAGTTCTCCTTGCATTATCTCTCACCAGTTTCCTCTCATATCCTTTCCAGAAGACTAAAACCATTTATGACAATACTACAGAAGTAGCTACCCCAACTCCTGGGTATACTGAGTATGCAAGACAAGTTTTCATCACAAAGTGAAGCTATAGCAAGTGTTTGTAACAGAGATAAATGTATCCTTGCTATCCTTGTTTTCCTAAAATGAAGGGCTTCCCTTGTAACTGAGTTGACCAAGTGTCTTCAAAATCCTTAAATAAAATGTCGTGTCTAGCCCATTTGTACTGCTGAATCACTGCAACACTGTCATATTATACATTATTTCTTTAGGGCAGAGGCTATAAATTACTTATCTTTGAATCTTTCTCAGCTCCTAGGACGGTACGTCTCTTATAGTAGACATGTAATAAATAGTTCTTAAATGTTCATGTTCCTCCAAAATCAGTATTGTTGATAAGGCGTTGACACAGCTTAAGGACTGCAGCACATGAACGACAATAACAAAAAAGTTGGTAGATGCTCTTCAGAAATTACCAAGTGTATATATGGGGAATAATTGAAGGGACAATTCCTACTCAATTGTAAGTCCCGTGAAAAGTTGAGACTCTAACTTAATTATCTTTGCTATCTCCAATAATATCTGGAACAGTGTGGAAAGTACATGGTGACAACTTGATAAAGACTAAAATGAAATAAGGACTGATTAGAGGCAGAGGAAAAATGTTGATCTCTCAGAGTCTCTTTTCTGCCTCATGACTTTAGATGAAAAATAAAGCCAGGAGTCTATAAGAAACATAATAAACTTTGTCTTTGCTTTCTATAGCCATTTCATTGGTTTACCTGGTAGCTCTATAAGCAGTGAATTCAATGCACTGGCCTGGAAACATATTTATGTTTTCTCTTAACCTAACGCTGCAGGGAACAGTACAAGAAAGACTGAAGGACTGGGCGAGGCACAGTGGAAATTTTGAGAACAGGTGATATTTTAAAAACCTAAAAGATCTTTTAGAAATTATTTTTCCAGGCTTTGTTACCAAGTCTTTCTGGACACTTCTGAGCAGCTGCAGGAACATACATTTCTTTTTTTAGAGACCAGAAAAAATAAAAATAAAAAACAAGCAGCCTGTCCCCTTCCTAACCCTGTGTAATTGTTGTGTTACAAGGAGGAGCCAAAGTAGGATAGATACCTCATCTTTCATCCATGACAAAATAAAACCTCTAACCCCAAACCACATTAGAGTAACACTTGAGTGATGAGCCAGGAGGATAAGATGTGCTTATGTCTTGGGCAGCCAACGAGCTTCCCTGGAGAATTGGAACCAAGACTTACAAAAGGCTAATTTACTTGAGTCTAGAGACAGTGCACTTTGCAGTGCAGGGAAACCTAAAGAACATGTTAGGACACTAGAACAGAATAAATTCCAGACAGAAATGAAAGAAGAATGGAAAAAATCTGTGCTATATATTTGAAGCTCTTAATATCCAAACTGTCTTTCATCTCGATATTGACATCCATCTCGAAAGAAAAATTTCCTAGCCTTTAATAACAGGTGAAAGTTATCATTCTGTCTCAAGCATTCTATTATCTTTTTTAAACCTTGTTTTCCTTTTCCTCCCCCTTACTTCAGTATTTTTAGGAGAAGGAAATCCTCTTTATAGATAGAACCATTTGGGAACCCAAGTGCTTCCTGGTAAAGAAACAGTACTAGTGAAATTTTGATCATGCAAAACTTAAGATCAAAAATCAAATGTGTTCCTCATAACTCTTAAGTATTACTGAAAGCCATTTAGGGATCTGATCCCTAGGTCTCTGACGCCCACATCAATGTTCCTACAACGGGGCCATCCTGCAACCTTCAAAATATGGCTCATGGTTCATGAGGCTCCTGAAACTCTCAACATGTGGCTCATGTGGTTAATGGTTCATTGGTTTATGACAGAGCAGCCTGAGTCCTGTTGGATAAAATAATGTTCAATAGTACATTTAAAATAAGGGATAACTGGCCTGGGGGAGAGGTTGAGAGTTTTCAGAAAAAGATTTTTTTTTCCTTCAAAAGCTGAATATGTTTGACTGAATGTGACTTTTGTTACTTGCCAGGCCCAAAAGAATAAAGCATAATGAAAAGGTCACTGCAGTCACACATTCACAAGAATGAGAGCAGAGGCTCATAAGTAGCTTGTTGAGTCTGTCTAAGGGACACTGAGTATTTGGTCAATTATCAAAGTCTGCCCTGCCCAACTCCTTCCTAAAGCAACTCTGAGAACTAAAGGTTTTGAAAATAGCCAGGCCAGTCTGCTATAGGAGAGAGCATACAGCTTGCTAGCCAGTCCTCTTCAAGTTCTCAAGGCCTGGCATCTAATTTTATTTCGTATTTATTTTATAAATACATCAGCAATACAATAATGCCAGTAGTAGTTGAACAAAGAAATCA